CAGACCTGTGAGGGTCAGACCTGTGAGGGTCAGACCTGTGAGGGTCAGACCTGTGAGGGTCAGACCTGTGAGGGTCAGACCTGTGAGGGTCAGAGCTGTGAGGGTCAGATCTGTGAGGGTCAGATCTGTGAGGCACCGCACATTTTCACGTCAAGTTTGGATTTTATAAATCACAACCTTGGCATAAAAAGTGGCGTACGCAAGTTTCTGGGCTCAAATTGTGCGTACTCCAGTTTTATAAATCCGACCCCAGGTCTGTGAGGCACACACAGCTGAGGAGAATAAAATGTGTAAACTGGTTATATTGTTGTCATGTAGTTGGACACACACACACAGTGCAGGTCTGAGGAGAATAAAATGTGTGAACTGTTTAAGAAACATTTTAATTCTCAGTGAGAAAAAAACTGTCGACTCAGCAGATTAACTGAGAACAGCTCAGCTGTGATGGTTCCTCAGCTCCACAACATGCACACAAYACAKTTGTTGCTGTGTAAAGTTGTGTTTATGGATCGATGTCAGCTGTTCACAGTCCCACACCAGGTGCCGGGTACCCCCAGCATGTCAGTTTTTACGAGATGAGGCGCAGGAGGACGGTGCGTTCTTTTTTTTTATTTTTACAGGAGTAGGAACTGTGTGTTTCTTTACATCAACTTAATAAATATTTCTCTAAGTTCTACAAAAGTCACAACTTCCTGTGTGTTTACAGTCATTTATTAAAGATGTGTAGAGGTGGAAATGTCTCTCAGCCTCGTGCATCACTGAAAATAACAGCACACAGACATACAAACCAACACAAACACACACACCTTTGTGTGAGGCAAACACATTTTTACACTGCACTTCTTATTCAGACAGTTTTCTCCCTCACTCTCCATTKAATGTATAATTTTCCTGCATGTAAAGTCATGTCTGATCCCACAGAGAGACAACCTGAGGAGAACCTGGACACATTTACACCTGCTTTACAGGTGTAAATGGAGGCGTGTCAGGGGGAGGAGTCTCAGGTGTCTCAGCTCCACCTTCATCAGGATGTATAAAGGAAAGGTGAGCAGGAACCTGTGCACACAGTTTGATACATCTGATTTTTTTGTTGCGGAGCACTTTTCTAAATTTGTCCGTAGGTCAACTTTTAGTGTGAAAGTTACACAATCCTTTCTGCATGAGGCCAGATCCTGAAGACAACCCATGTTTTCAGGTGTAATTTACATGTTTTACATCAAAGTTACACAATCCTTTCTGCATGAGGCCGGATCCTGAAGACAACCCATGTTTTCAGGTGTAATTTACATGTTTTACATCAAAGCTACACAACTAAACACAGCTTCATTCTTACACACAAACACCTTCATTACAAGTTTGGAGTCTGCAAAATTTACACATTTGTTTTGAATCAAGAAACTTGTGCTGTACACACACTCATTGTTGTTTTAACCTTTTATAAGAACCTTTGGATATTATTTTAGATATCAGTGAAACATTTAAAGCAGAACAGCAGCTGGATCACTTTCATCTTTTCATTTAATGACCAACAGCAGTGAGAGTGGGGAGGACTACGAAGTCTCAGTTAAACCCTCTTTGTCATGYTGCAATGACTCATACTCTTTATAAAACACATATTTTCCATTTCTTTGTCCCAAAACCTGCAAACAATGTGAGTGTGAATGAACAGGTAGAATGGGTCAGAACCAGAACTGATCCCAGAGGACTGTTTGAAGTACCTGCAGCTTTCAAGCCTGGAGCGTTTGTGTTGGCAGCACCCATCTGCTCCCTCACAGAGTCCTGGTAATTCAGCTTCACCAGGTGATCCGGAGCAACGCGCCGACCGCTGCTTGGCTTGAAGCGTGGAAAAAAAACAGCCAAGTGAGGGCAGTCAAAAATTAAAAATATGCAAATGAGCTGCAAATATTTTCCAAGTTAAATATCCTGAAAGGCAGTTATGAGAGGAAACTGATTTTTTACTAATCTTTGGTCTGCAGTTAAAAAACAACATAAACTTTAAACATTTAAAAACAATGAATGTGATTTAGGTTAAAAACATCTCTACTAAAGCAACTAATCTGTGCTCCTCAGAGTATTTTCTTCTCCAGACCTTTGTGATGGTGAAGCACCCTGCAGTGCTACTTCAGACTGGACTCACAACCAGCGGTCCAATGGGAACCTTCTTTTGTATCATAAACTGTACCAGCTTGTTATATCACATTACATGCCTAACATTTCACAAATAACTCCTCTAAACAAAGTGCAGCAGGTGATTACACTCAATTACACAAGTATGACAAGAATGAAAACCTGTCACGGTTCTTCATGACTAAATGTGCTTCAGAGTGGGAAAAACAAAGTGGTACCTGGTCAAAGGCAGCGTACGGTGGCTCCACACACGTTTGTTTGTTCATGTCTGGAGCTGAGATGTTCGAGTCGCTGCTCAGTGAACCGTTCACCTCGAAGGGCACCAGGGACTTACGGATCTCCTGCAGGGCCTTGTGGTACGGGTGTTTCTGGTTGTTGGTACGCCCTTGTTGCTTCGTGTCATCGGAGACCATTTTCCCCTGACCTGCAGCGTCCACTTTAGGTGGGTCAGAGGGTTTGGACAGGTTGCGTAGGCTGTTTCGTATCTCCTGCAGCATTTGTTGGCTGTTGCCATTGTAGTTGCTGGCGGGGAACGTTTTGGGTCTCATCTGTCTGTATCCTTCAGGTTTCTCTCCTCTCTTCATGAACAAGCATGTATGATGGCGATGAGAGAAGATGAAGTGGTCACCAGTCCAGTCCTGGGAGCAGTGATGTCTGACCTCACATCTCCATGCTGCTGCTGCTGCAAACATTCAGTGTTACTAAATGTTTGGAGATAAAGAGTCATCCAACAGGGCATGAAATAATGTTACCAAACAGGTTGGGCTAAATGACAACGTGAGGATTACCGACACTATTTACCAAAACGATCATGTTTTTGTCACATATGGAAATCAAAAGTAGATTAAAAACACATAATAAATACAGAWAAATGTGTTATTTATCAGGCTGTAAATGACTCGAGAGAAACAGKTTTATTTCTAAGACCTTAGCTCGGTTAGCACTGGATGCTAACGTAGCGCTGCTTCATGTTTCACGTCAGAAACGGGAACAACAGCTGTGACTCTTTTTAAAAACATTTCCGGTGATAAAATAACTATTCTGATCATTCCAAGTTGTGTGAAATAAAACAACACAACCTAAGCGGCCTGTGTGAGGGTTAAAGCATCCTTTGCTCCTGTCCAACAACAGGTTAGCATGTTAGCTGGAACACAACTGGTGACATCTTACCGCTGTTTGCCGCCGCTTTTCTGCGCTTTTTATTCCGTTTTCAGGTCCAAACACGGATTATCTGAGCTGCACCAGTGAAGGACGAGTCTTCTGCTGGCCGTGTTCTACCGTGCTGACTGGTTCTGGTCCTGTTGAATTCCTGGGATTTCTGAATGACAAGTAGAAGCTAAAGCTCCAAGCTAACGACACAAACAAACGAGGGGATTTTCACAATAAAATCCCGGAAACGGATTTGACAAAAAAAAAAGTTTAGACAAAAGTATCTTTTGTGTACAAAACACTTGAAGGTATTTTATAGTTACTTTTCATGTATGTTCTGAATGAATGAATAAATAAAACAGAAGGCCATTTATGTGATAAAATGGGTGAAATCATGTGTATTATGCTGAATTTCTAAATTAAATGTTTGTGTTGTAAGGATGTCACAGGCCTTCACCTCATTTTAACCCTCCTGCTGCCCTGAGGTCAAAATAACACCTGAAGTTTAGAACCAAATGTAACAGAACCAGATTTAATCTTTATCTTGTCATCATCAGGAACCTGAACTATTTTATACTTGGTATTTGCATTTTTACTAAAATGTTGGTATAACAGAMGTATAATGTTGACTTTTGTAATAAAAGTAAAAACATGAGACATTTTTGTGTTTTCTTTATTAAATACTTTGAGTAATTCTGTACAAAACATTTTGTTRGATTGAACTTGAACAGTTTGATGTAAGAAAATCTCTGTAAAAATGCACCATACCAGAGATGGGAAGTGAGAGGACTCATCCAGTCAACAAACTTTAATGATCTGACCTGAATCTGATAAAATAAGGTCCATTCACACATTTTTGAACCAGCTGTATTAAACTGGGACATGTCTGTTGACAAAAATGGCCTCTCCATCAGTCCCACAGACTAAGCACTGTCCCAGCACATCCAGGCTGTTGACAGACAGCGTCTGGCTGGGCAGCATGTGACTGGTCTCCAGACGACTTTTACTGGAGTCTCCACTGAGCCAGGCACTGGTCAGGGACTGGTTCCCAGCAGCCGGGGTCATCGCATGTCGACAGGTCGYACTGCTGTTCCTGCTGCCTGTTAACACAAGAATCACAAGTAATATGAAAGTTAGATTATAAACCAGTTTACCTAAATGACAGAAACAATCTTTGATTTTAAGGTAAAAAAATGACCTGAAAATACTAATATACACAAGTGGTTTGATCAGTTTTATTAACAGAAAACAATAAATAAAAAATATTCAAAATAATTATACGGTTATATATTTCACACTCCAGGCTCATCACTGTAACACAACCGTTGTTTTAAAGGCCTGACGTTAGCTAAGCTGGATTAATTTCTAATCTATCAGAGAAGAGACTGACCTTGTAAAAAGGAGGGCATGTCTGAAGAAGAGGTRGTCTCCCAGTGCAGCAGAGAGCCGTCCTCTGAACACGTGAACAGATGATCGGGGTTGGTGGGGTGAAAGTGAACCTCCCACACTGAAAACCACAGAAAAGGTTGTAAAAACTCTTCACATGTACGACGGTTAAATGATTGTAGAGTAAATCTGACTTTCAGCTGAGTGGGCCTCGATAAGTGAGAAGGGCATGTTGCCTTGTCTCACGTCCCACACACACAGCATTCCATCCTGGCCTCCTGTGGCAACAATGTGCTGCTGGTTTGGGTGTCTGTCCACACAATGCAGGGGAACTCGATCTCCTGACCTGTTGGAACAAACTGGATGAAAGGAAAGAAAAAGAAGATCCTAAAGGTAAAATAAAACACAAACRGCTCTTACAAGGACAGGATTTGTGAAGGTGAGTTGCTTTGCAGCCTCAGGTCCCACAGCTTCAGCTGCCCGATGGAGTTCACAGTTAAAATCTCTGTAGTCCTCAGGTAGGTCACAGCACGGATTGTGCTGCTGTCTGCGTTGTCTGGTGGACCAAAACACAGCACGTTGACSTGACTTTATTCACGTTCAGTTCAATGAACAGGTCTGGTTCTCACCTATGACTCGAATCACTCCTTCTTGGTCAGCTCTGAAGACGATAATCCTGCCGTCCTCCCCGACTGTGATGACTTCAGGACTGCTGCAGACGAGTCCAGTGCAAGGAGCGTTGTCACAGGGGTGGTGGTGAGCCCTCGCCCACAGCTGACACACTGACATCGTCTGAGAGGGGCAAGGATGTTATACATTATTATAATAAATATATATTATTTGTTCTTTCATTTTATATGTCAGTTTGTGAACACCAAAAATAATTACTGTCTTTAAAAGAATACAGACATTATATTTTCAGGAGGACAGAGGGGAATCCGTCTTTCAAACCGTTCACACTGATCTGTGACAAACCCTGTCTCTAAACCAAACATCATGATGGTGGAAATAAAAAAATWAATTGTTTTTTCTCTTGAATCCTTGATTCATAAGGTTTTTCCTATCTAGTAGTGATGGGTCAAGCAACACCAATGCATGGAGCTCATAGAGCCAAACCCCATGTCGGTGCACGTATCACTAAAAGGTCATGTGACCAACACAGGAAGTGTTTAGAACTGACAGTGATGCAGCAGATTGTGTTTAAAGGAATCGTTTCTGTTAACGACATGCATCCAACAGATTCTCTGATCTTTAGCAGTTCTTTATCAAATTCATTAAGAATTATGGAGCTGCCTGAAGACAAAACAAATGTTTCCTCCTTCTGGGACAGTTTTCATCTCATATTCATTCATGTTGACCCCTTCACACATCGACCTGTAGCCTCAAAGCTCTGTTTTACTCTCCCACACGGGGGGGGGGGGGGGGGGGGGGGCAGTGTCTGCAGCACAAAGCAGGACGAAAGGACAGGAGGAGACAACTTATTTCTATCAGCAGTGAGATGAAAGACTGGTTATTTGATGTTACTGGTTATTGTCCTACAGGCTCTGAGATGTAAAAAAAATCTGTGTAAATTATGGATAATCTGTACAACTTGACTTGTAGGCAGATCAGAAAATAATGTGTTTGATATGATTTCTGTTCCTCTCAGTTTCCACATTCATCTATCTGAATTCAAAGTAACTCTTAGTTTACTGTGCATCATTTTTTCTGTGGTTAAATGTTGCATTTGTTGAACAGACCTTTCCTGTTTTTAACTYGAAGCTCCTCCTGAATGCTGAGTCATGATAGGAGCAGGCATGAGAACACAGATACACCCAGGATAAACTCATGTATACAGCCACTCTACAACTTACTCACAGTTGTTTTATTCAGTATTAATTACTATTTATTTATTTATCTCATTTTCACCGGTCAAGCTTCCAGGAAGCACATGCTGACTCCAGCCTCCTCTGTGCTGTGAGCAGCTGTTTTCTACAGCTGGAGAAGATCTATCAGAAAAACCAACAGACTCTATTTCAAAATGTTGGAAAAACATTTTTTAAATAAAAACGTAAAAAAAATCCTAGTCCACAAGCATTCACAACACGTTCACTTAGATTTTCATTTTCATACATGTTCACATTATTTATAGACTGTATCTAAAAATATCAAAGATATTTTAAATGTAATTGAAGATATGAAATAATACAATATAAAACAAAATAACTTAAATTATATTATTGTAAATTTGGTTGCCTGTAGGGACCTTTGATGTCCAGCAGGTGTCAGTATTCAGTGACACCGTCTCCAATGCATGATGGTTTTGGACCATACAGTTTTAGTTTTTAATTAATTAATAACAAATATAGGTAGGCAATGTTAAGAGTACGCCATTTCCTAATTCTTCTGAAAAATGTATCCAATTATTTCAAGGAATAAAGAAGTTATGTCCGTTTGTTGCAGAATCACTGCAGGTTCTCAACGTTAAACGAGGGAAAAAAGAAAAAAAATCAAACTATCTTTTGATCCTAAAATGGCCAAATTTTATTTATATCATCATCATTTTAGACAACTGTGGTATCAGTCTGTTAGCTCTGTCACTTGTAAAATTCATGTAATTTCATATTTATAGCCAGAGTTTGCAGTTATCTGCACATATATAAATTAAATCATAACGTAAAACAGCTCAAGCTGGTGATTTCTGATGGACCTGATTATAAAAGACATTAAATCCTGCTGGACCTGATTGTTTTGGTGGTGGCTGAAGATGGTGACCGCTCCTGTTGACGATGCAGTGACAAACCTCTCCTGGTCCAAAAACTAGAATAAATATAAAGAAAACAACATATTAACACACAGGTTTCTGAACACAACAACTAAAGATCATCAGATTAGATTTGATGACAACATTGTTTTTTATGTCAGTTGTTTCCTGCATATTTTAGAGGTTTGTCTGCTGAAACACAACTGGTCTAACTGATGTTCTTCTGCAGAACCTGAAGAACTACAGAAGAGCAGGAAGCTAACATACAGCTCTTTAGGACCATCACTGGTTAAAGGGTTCTACCTGAAGGTCAAGAACATCTCCATCATGCTTGTTTTCACAGATCAGCTGCGGATCTCCTTCATCTTCTGGACCCAAACTGCTCTGATGGTCACCAATGGACCAAAGGGAAACCTTGTTGTCCTGCACAAACAAACACATTGTGGGTTATTAAGTCTTTTAAACTATTTCCTTTTCAACAAATACTTCGATCAAAATGCAGAAGAGACATCTCCACAAATATGCAAAACTTTATTTAAATTTAACCCGTGTTTGTAAAGTAGAACAAACCGAAATAACACATGAAGGTTTATAATAAAATGTAGACAACTATTTTATGGTAATGAAAAGTATAAATGTGCTCATTAGAGCAAAGCTTAAATTACAGATATTTCGTGTTGAGTCTCGGCGCACAAACGTAACAAACCTCGTTGTCCCACGAGCCCGTCACAAAAACATCCGGCTGCTGTAGAGATGACTGTGAAACTGGACGCCATCTTGTCTTGCTAACTTTTTGAGACACGTATTTAGCGCTCTCCATGAAGACAGACGCAGTTCTGTCGCTAAATAAAAAATAGATAATAATTATTGATACTGGGCTAGCTTAGCTTTGTTTAGGCGCCTGCTACGTTGTACGTAGGTACGGTGGCGGAGGAGGACCAAAAACCGCCAACAGATTTCGTCACAGTTTTTTTGCGACACCTAGCGGTCTGCGCGTTACTGCGGCACATCCGGTACGGTGTTACATGATTTCCTTTTCAGCTAATATTTACTTGAAAGCATAAACTGATTAGATTAATTATTTTATAAAAGTACAGAGTTTTGTGTTCGGGTGTGTATTTAAAGGGCGATGAGCATAATTAAAACCATTTGAATGCCTGGTGACGTGTCCGCCGCTGCACGGTCTGCTCTGCAGGTTGTCTGTTTTCTGGGTAAAACTGTTGGCGCAGGCGCGGCACTGACAGCTGCTGTCTACGGTCTCCGTAAAGTCTGCTTCATAATGGCCTGGAAATCTGGAGGAGCCAGCCACGCAGAGCTCGTTAACAACCTCCGCAGTAAGTCCAGATGCACTTTAAACCCGCAGCACGGGTTATTTTTACCCAGGCGTCGACCCGAGGAGAGTTAGCACAGCTAGCTTCTGGTGGTCGTTGTTGACCCAGCCTTACCTCCCCTCTCTCTGTGTCCACTCCACCTTTACTAAAACACGGCTGGGACAGTCACGTTCACGTCGTTGCAGAAAAAAGAAGCAGAAATTACTGGAAATCTGTGTTATTGTGTTGTGAATGTTTAGGAAACTGCAGCGTAGCGTCAAATTAGCATTAGCCTGTTAGCTGAATGTGCGTCATCTGGGATTCTGTGGCTCTGCCCACAGATTAGTCAATCTCCCGTTTCTCCAACACTAAATGACAGCTGAACACAGGACAGTTTCTGCAGGGCTTTTAGTGAATAATGAAAAATAAATAAAACCACAGTTTAACATGAAACTGCGACCATTGGTTCAATTCAGTCTCAGAACTGTGCGAATGTCCTGAACCACTGAACAAAACTAACCCTAACCAGTACTTCCTGTGTGTACAACTATGTCTATGAACCATTCAACATAAGTACTCCCTGTGTGTACAACTATGTCTATGAACCATTCAACATAAGTACTCCCTGTGTGTACAACTATGTCTATGAACCATTCAACATAAGTACTTCCTGTGTGTACAACTATGTCTATGAACCATTCAACATAAGTACTTCCTGTGTGTACAACTATGTCTATGAACCATTCAACTCTAAGTACTTCCTGTGTGTACAACTATGTCTATGAACCATTCAACATGGGCCACACAGATATTTCTAGCATAATTTAATATTTCTACCACGGTTCGTTGATCTTAGATGACACAAAAATACATTTAATACAGTTTGGTGTGGTAGTAGCTGAGAGTCATTTACAACACATAATCTGACACATCTGGCAATATCCAAGAAGAACTTGTAGAAATCAGCAAATCCCATTAGAAAACAGTTGTGTGTATGCTGGTTTGTTTTGTTCACATTAATACAGTTTTACATAAATTTCAGTTGGTAAAATTATATAAAACTATGATTGAAGAGTTTTGTGCCTCTGCTCAGACAGAAACTGTTTTTAAAAGTACCACACCCACACTCCACAGGTTTGACTGACACTGTTACAAACCACACAAGAAGCATCCTTTACATAACAAACAAACAAACACATAAATAAATAAATAAATAAATAAATAAATAAATAAATAAAT